TGAAAACTTCAAGTCAACAGTTGTCACAGTTTAATAAAGAGAATGCCAGCAATCAGCCTTTACTGTATCTGACTCCAGTCACCACTGGGATTATTGCATGCCTCACACCTGCTGTAGCAGCAAAAAGCAACAAGAAGTTCTAGCTGAGAAGATGGAAGCAGAGCTTCACTCTTCCTGGTGCCTATTCCATACTTCTCCCCTCTCCTTCCATAGTAGCACAGTATTTAAGTCAGTATCACCTTATTTCCCCCCCAGTTTTTACACCTGAAAAAAATTTAATACTACTGCATATTGAGTCCCAGAACTACTGCATTTTATCACTTCTAAATAATGAAAGAAGTTATTAAACAGAATCATTATCCAGTCTGCTTCAGACATAGAAAAAGGCAGACTGAAAATTCACTGATTTCTAGAGGTTCACTAGAACAACTGAAATTGAATAGCCATATTATTAAAAGACTATAAATGCAAGTTCATACATGGCAGACATTAGTCCTTCATCTCACTGAAAGCTCATATCTTAGAAATGTGATGTTCTGTAACAATGAACCTCTGTGTCAGACTCAATGGCAGTTTTGTGATAGTGACAAACAGCTACTTGAAACTGGTTTGAGACAGCCAATGTTTTTAACCTGAGGCAGTTTCTATTGTAGCGATGGAAATAAAACTATTAATGAAGTCACCAGTATTTAGCTATTTCTGTTGTGCCTCCCACTGGTCAAATTTCACAAGTCCTGCACTGTAGTGCCCACAGCAAAAAAAAAAAAAAAAAAAAAAAAGACATGGGACGATTTTCATTAAGAAAAACCTTTCCTATTTAGAGAAGGGAATAAAGAATCAGTTTACACTAAAGATGAATATACATATGCTTAGCAAATTATTCAAGTACACCAATTTTAAAAGAAACATTTTTGCAACTCCATCTCTTCATGATTTTTCTAGAACAGAAAAACCACACATTCTATACTACTCCCTACAACAGCACACTAGTAGAGTATTACATAATTTGAGACTAGCCATTTATACTCAGACATTTATTTGTAGCTGACTTAGCTCAAGATCTAGGGAAAACTTAAAAGAAAAAAAAAAAAAAGGCCAGTATTTACTATAGCATCTTTCCATCAGTGCAGGCAAATAACAGCTCGATGACATGATAAGAAAGCTTTTACCAAGCACAACAACATCACATACTTGCATATGTATTAAAAATAAAAGGAAAAATGATATTAAGTGTACTGTAAAATAATCCACTTCTTTAGAATTGCAGTATGGATCATAGCACTAAAAATGATCTCCTAGGAAAGGTAGAAACATTTCTCTCGTTTATCCCATTCCCCTCTCTTTTTACAGCATTAACCATTAACAGCACAGTTTCTAAGGCACAACGGTAACAGCAACAGCATGCAAGGAGATAGCAATATTACAGGAAAAGATTTAAAAGGAATAGATACCCAGGAGGTCCCAGAGAACAAAGGCACCTGTTCAGCTTTCTTTTTTATTGTGATAAGACACTTTTTTCTTCTTACACCAGCAAGAAGAGGACATGATAAAACTACCCTATTAAACAGTGATCCAAGTGCTTGGCAACAATCTTTTCAAGGCCTCTGAAACCCCTCAGAGATAGCAATCCATCCTCCATCCCTTTTATTCCAGCCCCACAGGTTCAAACAGTGACAGCACTAACAAAGTCACCAGATGATGAGCCTGGCCACACGTCACCATTGGCCCCTTTCACAGCTACTTTCTTCTTAACGTTCTTCTCCATAAAGAGCTGGTGTTAATATCAGGTATGGAATAGAGGAGTCCTTGAGAGCTAGCTTTTACTTTCCTACTATTAACAGTAACTGAAGTTGGTGTTCTCACTTTACAAATAGAGAACAAGTCATGAAACAAAGCACAAGTCTAAAAGAAAGCATGTAAAAATAACTACAATGCTTTTCAGTTCTGTGCATTGGCCTTAGGAGCAAGCTTTATATCTCTTGCTATTTAAAATACTCACCAGAAACTGAAATTTTAAATAGTGTTGTTTCAGACACCAGAACAATAATGCATTTCAATTTGTTTCCTGTGTCTATTGCCCTGGTGTACTTGTGAGTGCCAGCTAAGTTTAGTAACTAATTAGACTGGAGTCACAACTCCATTAGAGGTCTGGATCAGTAATTCACAAAGCAGGAAACAAAACATCTCTTGTTGAAATAACTGTAGCTTTATTTGAAGGACTTTTTTTTTTTTCTTTTTTCTTTTTCTTTTTTCTTTTTTTTTTTTTTAAGAAAAAAAAAGGTTTAAAGAGGGAGAAGTCATCCAGTAGCTATACAAACTGCATTGTATACTTCCATTTTCAAAGCCACAAAATGGGTCACATTTGAATTAAGCGATACCTCTGGCTGACATTACTATTTTAAATCAGTTGAGCTTTGACACCAGACTAGTAGCAATCAAAGATCACCAAAAACACAATCTGTGGTTCCAATACTAATTCTCTCCTTATACTGACATCGAATAGTTTCAATATAAACACTAGTATACTTTGTTGACAACAGAAAGCGAACAGCCATAGAAACGTTCCTTCAACAAAAAAACTAAGACCATTACCAAGGAAGAAGCACTAACAAAAGATTTCATGCCTCTACAGGCACCTATAGAAGGTGCAGCTTATTTGTATAGAGCAATTGAATCTTACAGTACCAAGAAAGCAAAATCACAGAGGGTTTCCTCACAGACATGTATGCACACACCAATGCCATTCCACTACTGCATAATAGAAGATTACAACTAGGGATGAAGGAATAGACAAATGTATCAATACTGTTGAAAAACAGAGGAAAATTTAAGTATTATCAGCAAGAAAGAAACAATTACCTTGGAAGTATCACAGTAGTTTATAATCTTGTAAATGTAACTTGAAGATCAGACCTACCTCCTATCTTAGAAACTACTAAAGCAAATTGAGGTCAGTGTAGATTCCAGCCAAAATCTGATCAGGTCCTACATATTTTAAAAAGAACCAAAGCTACAAGCAGCAACAGGTAAAGCTTTGAGAATTCCATGAATACTCAGCATCCCCTGGCAGACAAGAGGCACAATTCCCAGATATGCCTCCACCTCAAAGGAGAAAAAGAGTGATTTGTCAGCCTTCTGCACCACTGTGGATCGCTGAACGGAAAACAGCTGAGGCAACAGGTCAGGCTTGTAGCACTGGTCTCTTGCTTTGCTTTGCAAGGTTCCTCAACTTGTTAGATAAAGAAATAGGGCAAGGAACAGAAATCAGTATACCCAGCCCTTCCCCCCATTTCACTGCAGAAAAGAGCACGATGACATTGCTTCTCCTCCAGTTGAATGCATACCTTCAGGTACTTTCATCAGCCTTTGCAAAGAAAGTAAAAGGGTCAATGTTCAGAGCCACTCCTGACTCAAAGAACCTTCACTGACCATGTAATTGTTGCTTGCACTGTACTTGGTATTAGGAATCACCGAAGTCTTAACAGGCTCCTAAGAACTACGATATGAGAAGATTCGAATAATAAACCTGTATGCAGAGGAGTTTTATACAAGATGAATATAGTGGCCTTGTATATCACACAGAACTAAAATTTCAGGTCACTTTGTATTCCTAGTCTTCCCAGATCTCCATTTCACTTTGACCCGTGTCTCTTCTTCAGTGTGTTTATTTGTTATACTCATACCAGAGTTCAGCAACTCCTAGAGACAGAAAAAGGGCAAAAAGTATGCAAGCTCTTGAAGATCGAATCTTCAAAGTGTCTGTCTCAGGTCCTACAGGCTTCTTGAGGAGCAAGGTACAGAGAACATTTATTTCAGCGGATTTTTTAACTGCAGCAGAATTATAACAAAAAATCAGAAATATAATCTCCCTTAGACCACACTTCAGAACTTCCTTTCCTCAGTTACAAAACACTATTCTATTTTCCATAAAGCTGGCTTCCTCTGAGCAGCCCTGTGTCATCAGATTCCCAGTGTCAGTAACTCAGAAAATCCCAGCTTGGGGATCAAGCAGGATACTGAGCACAAAAAGTTTCAATACAACTCTGATGATCTATATAACTACATTCAAAAAGCACAGCAACAGAGAAGAACACTGCATTCCTAAACTTCCACGCCTGTGCAATTTCACATTCTCTCTCTCTACTCTCATGTCACCCCCCCCATCTTAATCATTCTCATCTAACTTGCAGTACTATGTAATTCATTTTACCCTTTCCCCCTCAGGGAATACAAAGGGAAATAAAAATGACTATGAAAAAAAAAAACAACTAATGGTAGAAGGTTCTTATGTAGTACCATGTACAAAGTAGACTCAATTATTTTATATACTGAATGATGATAATTCAAGTGCTTTAATCTGTAAGATGTTCTATCTAAAAAACACATGCTAGGAAAAAAAAAGTGTACAAAAAACCAACAGATACTGCTAAGCAAGCAAGCACTCTTCCAGTATGCAATGAGATGGTTGATTTGGGAGGCTAATGAATTAGTATAAACAATTTAAATCTAATTTAATTTAACAATGTAGAGCATTTATGCAGTGCAAAGCAACAGATAGTCATTTGCTTCTTCATTAAACCAAAGATAATATTGCCGATTACCCTTCCATGAATTATTTTACTGAAGAAGATAGCAAACACATTTTATATTTAGTCATAAAAGTTCATGGCTAGTCCCCAAACAAGCAAATATAATGAATGAAGGACACCAGTGAATGTAACATAGGACCAGCTGTGGTTAAAGGCAATGTGTTATTCAGTCAAAATAGATTCTCACATTTTAACAGTTAGTGAACAAATGTTTATACAGAAAACTAATACAGAATTTTAAGTATACCTTTCAATACTACAAAAGACACGGCATGCTCCTAAAGAAGCACAATTTCCCATTCATAATCTTAAGATGTTTTAAGATTGTACACCAAGAATTCTGAGCATTTAGCACAGTGAAAATAATGAAGAAGTTAAATCCAACTATTTTACAGAAATTTATGAACTTGCCTCAAAAGTGTTACCGGTGATATCAAATTCTGGTGGAACAAAGGCACCTTCTGGATCATCTTTGAAAGGAAAAGAAAATGTATTGGATTAGAAATTAGTAGTTGTGCTTGTATAAAAAAACATACTAATTTGAGTTTGTACCATAAAACTTGTATTACTATTTGATATACAGGAAACAACAGCATTTTGGTTCACTCACCCCCAGTCTACAAAGAACTTGTTATCCGTTTCCAGTACTGCAAGTAAAGCGTTATTTGCAAACTTTCTACCAGAAGATACTATACCTTTTCAACCATGAAACAAAATAGATAAAACACCCCATAGAGATTTATTTAACACATCTAACCACTTCTGGCATGTCTTCAGACCTTTATGCTTGGACCAAGTTATCATCTAAGTAGGTATGAATCAGCTATGGCTTGTATTTGGTTAACAGGACATTTTCATTTGGTAGTTTCCACTGCAGACCTGGGTTCAAGCAGCAAAAGCAAAGTGAAAAGCTAACTTCCTTCTCTTTCATGGGCCAAGACATAGTTAATTATTGTAATATATGGAGGAAGTACATACCTTATGCGGGTGCTGCCTAGCAGAGAACTAAGCTACTGCAGGAAGCACTGCAGGCTGAAGAAGGAAGAAAGGAACTTCCTATGAGAAACTGAAATTACTGCTGCATACAAGCATACATGTAACATCACAGTCTGTTGATAATTTCTCAACAGGGAGAAAAAACAGCACACACACACATCACACACTCATCACAGTTTTAGCTCTAATATAACTTTTGTGTCTGTACTTCAGAAGCGAGATGCATATTGTGAAGACAGTAACCTCAGATCCATGGTGTAAGACTTGTTTGACATTTACAAATGGCAGCTACCTTTGTTTCCTTCTTTCAATGGAACAGTTTGAAGGCTGTACAAATGTATAGTTTTTAATAATCAGTAACGCTCTCTGTATCCCTTAACCATAGTGTTTAAAATAGAGATTTGTCTGATTTGAACAGACAAGAAGATATCAGAGCCCTTGGCAGAATATCCTACTGGATGTTTGTCACTTTCCTTAGCACAGAACCTGCACTCTGTAAAAGCAGAGGTGACAGGCTGTTCATTTTCTCTCACTGGCAAGGAACTCCAGAGGTCATCATTTTCTTCTGGAAGAATAAATGCATAAGTAACAGCTATGAGAAACCAAGAAAAGACAGCTTCCAGAAGGGCCTTATCTAGCAAGCAGTATTTTAACAAAGTAACAACAAGATTTGAGGGAAAGGGTAAGAGAAAGACTCAAGGACACAGGGGAGAGGAAGGGTGTGAGAGGGGGGAGGGGGAACAACATATGCTTTTTTTCCCCCAGTCATTCCTAGGAAAAACACAATTGTAAGAACTCGGGGGGAAAAAAAACCAAAACACTTCCTTAGAGATTAATATGACATCAGAGAACAAAACATTTGTACATCACCTGCATTATACAGGAATTCCCATAATCACACATCTTAAATACTTGAATAGGGCAAATTCCTGGATCAGTTGTTTGCCAGCTATTCAATTAGACTAAAACTTTTATGAAGAAATCAATTTTTCTTTCCCAGCTGCAAGCAAAAATATTAGAGGAGTCTTTAATCCACTGGATTTATCCCCTGCAATAAGTCTTTCATACATATCCCCTTATGAATATAAAGCCAGCTTTTCTCCCTATCCAAACTTCAAGTTAAGACAAGTTACTTAAAACAAAGGAAACCAATTCCATGCAAACAAGGACATGGCATGCAGATACACTGACAAAAAACCTATGTAGGAGATGGAGATACATTAAACTAACCTGGACAAGTCTTAAAGTAACTATGATGAGTCTTCTATCCAAACTCATACAAGTCTTTATTGATCAATCACAAACCGAGCACACAGTTTCGTGCAGATCTCTATAACTAAATAAGTCTTTTTTTTCTTCTTCTTTATTTTAATTTTAAGTCTTCCGAATAGACTAGAATGCTTTACTACAGACTCTCACTATGAGTTCCCATAGTTTTAAAACAAATTGCCTGGAAACACAAATACTTACCACTGAGTTGTTCCATGAAGCATACATTGCCATTGGTGTTAAAAGCTAGAGTGTCGGGAGTGATGCAAAGAGTCTGGAAGATTGCAGAATGGGCAATGCTCTTCAGAGAATGGCAACACTCCAGGCAAATTGCCCAAATATCTTGCTCTTTAAGACAGCTATCTCGCAGTGACAAAATATCAGCAAGGGACACATTCTCCTGCCAAGACATGAATTCATAAATTACTCCACATTTCATGACATTACTTTTGGTATCATAGATTACATTTGACACAAGTGACTACAAGTAATATTTCCAGCAAGTTCTGAGACTTTTCAGGACACTGATTAACACCCCAAGAAACATAAAATTCTCTATGCTGCTTTTAACACAAGAAGTCTCCAAGAAGCACAGTTAATCCAAACAAAGGTATCACAGTATGTTAACATCAAAAATAGACTTACTATAGGAATTATGTAAGTTACATAAACACTGCATCAAAGTTAAGGAAACAGACCATTCAGAGGTAAAAGCAGAGAAATGAAATTAAAACATTTTGTTTAACACATGCCTTCCTTAGACTCTCCCAGGTGGTTTTCGATAAACTCCTTTTAAATTCCCTTCACAGTGAAAATTTCCCTAACAGTGAAAAAGTACCCTCTAAACTGGCCTGTCTTATAAATGATGCTGTTATGAAGTGTAGTGGTGTAGATCATTTAATAAATCCTCAAAAGTCCAACATGCTGTAGGAAAAGTGTTCTTAGACATAAAAACCAAGCATTTCAGTTGTCCACTATTCCCAGTGCTCTCAGGATCAAGACAGTTCAGAGAGTTAGTTTCTAAGCTATTGTCCTAAAACATTAAATCTCCTTCCCTTCACCATATGCTTACAGCAAGGACATTAAGACTAAAGACCACACTTTCTGAAAGATAGTAAGCATAACTTGAATTAAAGATGCAACCAAATATTACTTGACATATAGAAAGGAAAGTATCTCAATGTCAGCCAAACAGAATGCAAACTGAATTGTAGTGGTTTGAACTTTTAAGCATGGGAAGCTTGAAAAACAGAGCTATAACTGACATTATGTACCTCATTATTGGAAAACATCAGGATTTCTATTATTATTTACTGACAGAGAAAGTTTGTTGACACATTTTTCAGAGGAAGAAGTACTCCATTCATAATATCCTTTATAAAAGGACCAATCCTAAAACCAAAATTTATTTTGCTTTTATTCTAAAGCAATAACAACTTAATTATTAAGTTATGCTTAACAACTGAGGAAAAAAAAAACAAGTAGGAAATGAATCATGCTTACTATTATTTGGCAACTGTAACTTTTATTTTCAATATTGAAGTTTTCACCAGCCTAAAGATGTATTAATTCACTAATAGAAGAATTAGTGCAGTGCCATCAGCGCTCACCCAGCTCAGTCCAACACAACACAGAAGAGCAAAAGCTGTTACAGCTCAGGTACACGAGAACGACAATCTCATTTTCTCTGTGCTGTCCTCAGCATTGTATGCGTAATGCTGCCATTGGATTTTGAGGATGGATAAGAAAACTTTGCATGTTTTTATGGGGAATTCCTTTCAAGCATGAAAGGCAGCACAGAGGTTCCTAAATTTGAAAACACAAACATATGAAAAGGAGCTGGCCATAAAAACATCAAGTTTTGAAGATGACCATGCTGGTAGATGAGGACAGATTTGGGAAAGAAAGACAGACTGCTTGTTCTAGCACAATGTAATTTTTTGATCAAAGCAATGAGCCAGTTATTTTAATTCTTTTAGGACCATAGAGCTAAACAACTATGTGACATGATGGCATTTATCAAAGCTGCAAAGAATATTTCATTAGATGCAAAATCATTTTGTCCATCACATGCATATGGAGACAAAAGGCTCAGTTTACAGACACTATAAGAAATAAACATAGCCTGTAAAGTTTGGAAGAATCTCCATATTAATTTGCATTCACAACCAGGACTTGATAGAACTTCTTTTGAGTCAAGCGTGAGTTGAGTTCTTGAGCTGATACCAATCACCAGTAGCAATATCTATGCTTAAAGCCACAAAACCATCTTTGTACTGAGGTGCAAATGAAAGAAGATGATCTCATGCCAGATAAATTTATCTTCTTTCCAGGGAAAGGGAAAGTTTTGTTAAAAAAAAAGAAAAAAGAAAAAAGAAAAAAAGAAAAAAAAAAAAGGCCTAAGAATGCTGAATTCATATTCAGTAGCTTCTTTCAGCAATGGACAGACTGATAAAGATAAAAAAAAACAAAAAACAAAAAACAAAGAAAGACAACAAACAACAACAAAAGCTACACAGTAAACCTTTCCTTCAAAGGGCACAAAGCTATTTACTTCATGGAAACGCTGCATTTCTCAAATGACCACACTGAACAACCTTAGCTACCAAAGTTGCTACTGCAGCACAGCAACAACCTTTCAGAGAATGAAGCATTGAAAATATTGAGACATATGTTTACTTAGTTTCCCTAATCAAAGCTATGCAGAAACAAGTTTTCACTGAGGAAAAATAAACAAATATTTTTTCAGAACGTAACTCAGCATCTTCTAGCAAGTTGAAGCTTCTAGCAAGCCATAACTGCAATATTTTGGTCTATGGAAAATCTACAGGAAAACTTACCACTGTTACAGACACCTTTCCTCACTTGTCTCATTATCAGGAAAAGATACTTGCAAAAGACATTATTGTATTATAACTATGAAAAGTTAATAGGTTAAATAATCATACTTCAATTCACCACTTTAGTTCACAGTTTTCCCTTGTATTTTCTTCAAAAGTATAATGCAGTGCACTAGCATATGCAAAAAAGCAGAGAGAAAACAAAGAGAAAACAAATTGGACACAGACAACATCTTAAAAATTTTAAATGAAATATTAAGGAGTTTCATATAAAGGAAGTCCCAGCCAGGAAAGACAATTTAAATACACTGTCACCACCAGTATTTCCTACTCATCTGCCCAGGCACTTTCCTGCTTCGCACACTGAATGCTGTAAACCACATACACCACAGTTCCCACTCAATGACTAAGCATCTAGGAGTACTTCAGGTGCCAGAAGACTGTGAATGCCGAGTTCTGTTATCAAGATATCAACACTCTGTTCTAGAATCATGGAAAACATGGCAAATATAATTCATTAAATTAATCAGAGCTGAAGAAAAACATTTTGTTGCCTGCATAAGTCAGTTGAATACTCTTCAAAGGAGTCCCTTTAAGAAAAAAGTTCTCTAATCTCCAGGTGATAGGTGATCATTCTCTCAACAAGAATATTTGAAAACATTAAAGTGTTTGGAAAAGCTAAACAGAAGGGACTGATGGGAATCCACAATCACAGACTGCATCGAGAGAAATGGGCTCAGGTCTTCCTCACATAGAAGAAAGAACAGATCTTCTTCCACTTCTGGCTTTTAAGTGAACCTGTAAAGAGGAGGCCACTGCCAGCTTCCTTTTGTATTTGGCATGGACCAGCCTGAGAAGGCCTACACCGAGCGCTAAGATGAGGAAGAGTATCCAAATGAGTGATAAACACAAACCCTAGGTCAAGATCAGAAGAGTTGGGTCAGATTCTACCAGAAGCATGAAACTGCTGAGCCAGGAGTTTACTTATGGAGTCTGTGGGGACTTCTCATTTCAAACACCTCTACATCCTGATTCAGTTGGGGTTCTTGAAACACCAAATGAGAGCTTTATAAGGTTCATTCTGGGAAACGAGCCACTCATATATGGCTTACCAAAGTTTCACTTCCAAGTTTAATCAACTTACCCAAACATTCAGGAACACTTCACATGAAAGGATACAGAAAACAAAGTGAGAGCAAACAAACAAACAAGTGCAAAACCGAGCACACCCACGCAAAGCTGACTGCAGAACCAGCTACAGGTAATTCAGCACAATAAAGAAACAGATGCAATAGCTTTTTACACATTTTTTTATTCCCTCCTGACAAAGATGTTTTTACACAGGGCAGTAAGAAATGGCTGTACAAGGACCAAGTTGGTGCTATACTTTTACCCTTTTAAGAAATCACCCTTGATCGATTACTACAAAGAAACACACTTCATAACTGCTGTTAGTGCACAGCCACACCAGGAGCCAGAAACGAGACGCCCCATCCTCGAGCACCATGACTTTGCTGTTGTATGGAGCAGGGGGAGGGGATGGGCCAAGCCCAACTTGGGAGCTGAGATAACGGGGCGAAGGAGCCCTGGGCTCGCGCCAGAGCAGAACGGCTGTGTCACCGCGGCCTGGCCGCTGCCGGCGTGCCGGGCAACCGCCGAGCTCCGCTGGGGCTGCCCGCCGTGCCGCGGCGCAGGCAGGGGCCGGGGCTACCGGGGCCCGAGGCCGCCTCACCTCGGATGCCCGCAGGGACTGCCGCACCGGCTCCGTCCCCGCACCTGCCACACTCACCTCGTCCTCCAGCAACGTCGGCAGGGGCTCGAAGTCGTAGCAGTTCACCTCCTCCGCCTCCTCATAACACCCATCCTCCGCAGCAGGCTCCATTCCGCCCGGAGAGAGAGCGGAGGCTTCACACCCTCAGCCCCCGCCGACGGCTCATCCCCACGCCCGCCTGCAAGCGATCCCCGCGGCGCCAAGCACACCCGCCTGCTTTAACCCCTTCGCCTCCCGGCGGGGCCCGACCGCGAGGCGCCCCCTGCGGCCCGTAGCCGCCTCCCGCCTAAGCCCTCGGCTGGGGCAGCGCTGCCATGGCAACGCGGCCCGCCACCGCCTCGCCCGTGCCGCGCTGCCTCGCTGCGGCGGCTCCCGCCCTCCCGCGGCGCCGAGCGCAGCCCGCCCCGGGGCGTCCTCTGCGAGCACCTGGCGGGAGGGCGGCGGCGTTGCGATGGCCCTGATGGGCGCGCCGGCGCAGTGCTGAGCCCCGCGGTAGCCCCGTTCAACGTGAACTCGACTGTCTTCCAGGATAGGGCATATCGTGCACATAAGCACAAACAAAAAATCTGATTTTTCCTTCTGATCATCCGCTTTAGTTCATTAGCCCTAACATTTTGCTATCCATAGGACCTAAGATAATTGTATTAATATTCATCAAGAAAAGCAAGGGTTTATGTTCTGGCTTGTAGGCAATTCTTGAAAAAAATTAATTATTAAACTATACTCTGACAATCACTGTGAAACAAACATAGATAATTTTAACTGCTCCATGAAAGTCATCCTGATGCATCTGTAAGATTTCTTCCAGTTAAATATTAGTTGGACATATCCCACAGTTACGGCATGCTACTTGGCAAAAAACACAAGCCTAAGCAGATTGGAATCTTTCATGTATATGGACTAGATGATCTAAGAGACCTTTTCCAACCTCAATGATTCTGTGATTCTCTGTCATCTTCTTACTAACATGTTGAACTAAAGTGATGGATACAAAAAGTTCTTGCTGACAAATGTTTTTAATGTACATAGTCACCTTTTAGTATGTACACATACAATTTGATAACTTGCATTTTTAATTCTGAACAAATATTAGAGAATGGGAAACAGTGAACCCCTGGTGCTTCTGAAAATAAAGTCCAATCTGACCTGAAGAAGAGCACTGTTTCACTTACAGAAAGTCTATAAAATGTGTTTGATTAGCACATTTTGCCATACCATTCTCCTCAAATAGCATGATCTACCCAAGAAGAGTTGCAAATTCTGTACACTTGTGGACTGGAGTCTTAACTGCATTGTAAAGAAAAATACATGAGAAATGTTTCCAGTATGTGAACTAGGTCTATGAGCTACATTCATCTGTAAATACCTCTTACATCTGCACCCCATTACAGTCCCCACTTGAGCAATCATAAACATTTCCATGAAATGATAGTTTAAGTCAAACATATGGGTGCTGTATGGAAATTCACATGCCACTTTTGAAAAGATAGTAGTTTTATGTTAGAAAATCACTCGCTAAAAGCAATTAGGACATTACCCTGCAAGGTTAGCACTCATGTTCAGACATGTGCCCTGTGTTAGTTGAACCTGGGGCTCAATTCTTGGGTATTTTTTGCCAGAGTAAATGACTAAGTGCATTCAAGTGACCTGAGATGCTTGAGACCTGGTTTCCTGGTTACCCTGGATAACTTACTTTCTCTACTGAGGTACCAGTTGTACCAAGTGGAGTATGTATGGAGTGGAAAGCAAAAGGAAATAAACATAGAGGGAGTGAAAGAAACTGCATTTCAGGAGATAAACAGGAATAAACACAGAATTCCTCTATACATCAAAAGTTGCAGAGAATTTAGCCTTATCACAAGTGCTTTGACAGGCAGGACAGAACAGTCACTGGAACTGATGTGGTTTCATAGATTTTTCCAAAAAAGCTGTGATAATAAATCTCAGATCTCATCAGTAGTTCTGTTTTGTTTCCTCCTTGGCCTCCTGGTTGAGACAGCTGTCAGAAAAGTCAATGTAACTTCTTTGATACATTCATGTAACTCAGTTCTCATACTAGAATATTCGATCTTAGCATCTGCAATTGATATCCATGGGGATTGTTGGAGGACATGTAACACTCTATGGTTCAACATTAGAACAAAAAAAAGCATTTAGATGAAACTGTCAGTTTGTCTGCAATCATATTTTCCTTTATTTCCTTTCCATACTATTACTTAAGAACATTAAAGTTTGTAAAAATTCTCTGTACAGTAGCAGTAGGCATTCTTTGAAAGATGTTTTGATGGATGTTGACTATCTGTGGAAATAATCTTCTGAGTCTAAGGTTAGCTGAACATGCAAGTGAATATCATATTAAAAAGGGAAATATATAGAACATCATTCAGGTTCTCAATGGTGAGGGATCTCAAAAGGCAGAACTAAAAACATTATTGTGCACTGATAATACTCTTTTGCCTGAAAAGTAATAAGAAATGTTAGCATAGATTAAAGGAACCAAGGGGAGATTTTATTATCCTGTGTTTAGATTCTGAACATGAACTGGATTCTTTATAAGAATTACAGCAGGAATCATGACTTTTAGATATGTTACTTCTTTACAGTAGATTAGAGATGAAAAAAGCACTATACAAATGTAAACTTGAGGTATATTGTAGCTGTTATATGTGAGAAAATACGTGACAAAAAGTTCACTTAATCACCATAAAGTTTTTTGTTGTAGATCTGATGTGGGATCATAGGCAATACAGAGAGACTGGACCAAATATGTCAGATTTCTATTTTCTTGCAGTTTTAGAGTGCTCCCCTTAAGCTGTGTTGAATTTGTGGTAAATGCAGTTAGGACAGTTCTCTAATTTTCTAATAGGTTGTGTCTGCAGCAGAGTGACTGTGTAGGTTTCTGTTTCTGCTAGCAGTCAATAGCAGACACCAGAGAAAAGAGTATAAACAAGTAGCCATATACGTCTGCTCTTCCAGTACAGTCTTGGATAGTCACACTTTTGATGTGATGGCATCTGTTGGTTTAAGAGGCCTGGAATACTTTGTTCAGTGACTTTGTTCATTCACTCTTTGAGTCTGTGTATTTTTTACTATCTCCCATGTCCTACTGCGAAATTCTTCAGCTTACCTGTGCAATGTATGAAGTTAAGTCTTTGTTTCAGTTGATATTCCTGATTTATTGTATTGGAAAAAGTGGAGGATAGGCTCCCTGTTTATCATCTCTATATCATCCTTGATACTACACTGTTGTTTTTCTCTCTTAGATACATCTTTTCAGGTTGAAATGTCCCGGTCTTGTTGCTCACTGACAGAATAGAAATTATCCCATGGCTTTGATCATGCACTTCACATACTTTTTAGAATTGTTTCATTATGCAACTAAAAATTGTGGAAGAGAAGGCTGGGATCCAAATGAATGAATGAATAAATGAGCAAATGAATAAAAGAATGAACTGATATGTAAATGAAGGAAATAATGATTCTTGAAAGCTTTTTGAAAATGATGTATTAATGACCTGCGAAGTAAGGATTTCACTTAAATGTGATTAACGGATTTAGTTATGAGAGTCACTCCTTTTATTTCCAGGTATCTGGATTCATGATGTGTTTTCCAAAAATGATTCAACGAGCACTAGTCATTGAGAATAAATCTGTGCGAATTCAGAGTGTTACTGCCAGCACCTCTATCTCAACAATCTAAACACCAGACACAAGAGAAACGATATTGTATAGGGTACTACTGTTATGCTGCTTTGTGCTACTGGTGATATCTTACATGTTGCTTCTTAAGCTTTTTCTTTTCATTATAGCACTTTGGTTATTCTTCTTTATAGATTATATAATCATAATTGACTATAAAAAATTCAGAGTACAAGCGTCATAGATGAAAGGTACACATTTGTTACACTATAATTAAATTTTGCATTCTACTTTTAAGAGTTTTTGTTTAATGGAAGTCTGCCTGAAGGCTCTCATTTCAATTCAGTTTGGATGAGACTGTGGGAACTGAAGGATTGCAGTAAAAAGAATTTGTTCTTGTGTGTGTACAAGATAGTCTTTTCAATTGTTTGGCTTTTGTTAATCAGAGATCCCTTTAATGCCACAGGCTTTAATACCTTTAGTCTATGAAACTACTGTTCTTCGTTTAGCAGTTATATGTATTTCAAGACAGGGAAAAGCTTTCTGCCAGTTGCCAGCTGCTGCTGTCTTTATGCGTTGCTGCTACTGTAAAACTTGAAGGTACTCGGAGGTAAAGGCACTGAGACACTGCAATTTTTAAACCAGGCCCATTGCTTCCACTAATTGCATATAGGTGTAAATCTGCTTCCTGCAGTGGTAGGTTAATTTGTATTCCCCATACTTCAATCTTACAAAGGCAGTAGATTCAGAAATGCAAAATTAACACCTCTTCCAATATACCTGAAGAGGATTGGACAACTATATATATAGACTACATACTGAAGTGGAAATCCACATATAGACATTCACTTTTCTTGGGGTTAAACAGTAGAAATGTGAACTCCAGAATCATCAAGCACAGTCTTTGGTCATTATAGGCACCTGTCACATCATTCTTTTCAGAAATGTTTCTAACACTGTAGCACCCACAAGCTATGAATCTTCTGATTTCCAGCCTTCATTTATACTTAATCATTTTTGTTCTGAGATTCTCTTTTAGCTTTTAATCTCAGTTCCTATTTCTTTCCAGATTACATTACGCATACATCTGTTTTCTTGTCTTTGACTTTGTTTTCCTCTTTTCCTAACAGTTCATTTTCTTAAAACTGTTCTGGTTATGACTGCTTTTCTATTGCATTATACTTTTATAGCTTTATAGTACTGATAAACCTTAATTTTATAATTTCCTCAGGTGTTTGGGACTTTTCAGTAGAGTCCTCTAACATATGCCTTCTTTGTGTATATTGGTGTATTTCTTTATGAAGTATTGTGCAGTTTTTTTCATCTTCATGATTTTTTCACATGTTCCCTGCCTAAGGAATTTGATTTCATTGTGTCTTCTCTGAATAGCAGTTTCATTTGTCCTCATTTGAAAGACTATCAGAAGATTCTTCTCTCTTCTCCATGGGACATTTTTCAATCATCTATTATGCTCACCTGATATGAGCTGCAATTGCATCTCTTATTCCTCCATTCTCTATTCTATGAATTCTACTGGATGGGACTCCCAGACACAGATCGCTG